TGCTTCAGCTTATTTATTTCATTTCTGACTTTTTTGTAAACTGATAGACACATCAATAACAATTAGGTAATGCGGTCATGTGTAGTAGATGAAAAACTTATTAGTGGTGGGCATTTGTGTAGAAATTACTACGCGTAAGTTGGTTTGTCATCTTTTCGTTTGTAACCAATAATTCTGTCAAATCTCAACCGATTTCTAAAAACGGTACGTCACTGTATTCGCAATGAAAAGGGCTTTAAAATGATGTGCCACAAGTGGGGTAGTTGCATTTGAAATTTTTAAGTTGGGGTTGCTAGGCATTAGGGGGATGAACATATCGAATTGGCTTGACTGTCAAAAAGCTCCCCCCAAGAACAAAAATCGACGGGTCTCGGCGAATTTTGAAATATTATTCGGTTTTCCAATTATAGGGGGGGTCAAATTTTCGTTGGGATACCCTGTATTATTACATATTCGGAAAGCTTATGAAAAGAGCTTCAAGTTAAAAAAAAATCGTCAAGATTTGTTGAAAAACAATAAAGTTACAGACTGTTTAAATGGTCCCCAGTATTCAAAATTCTTAGAACATACTCACGCCCGATCTTAGAAGATGTACCCTTGAATACGTATATAAGAAGAGACCTATGCCGCACCACCACATTATACTCAAACTGTACGGCAGTTTTTTAATAACCAGTTAGCTGGGGGCGATGAATTGGACCTGGNCAGTATTCAAAATTCTTAGAACATACTCACGCCCGATCTTAGAAGATGTACCCTTGAATACGTATATAAGAAGAGACCTATGCCGCACCACCACATTATACTCAAACTGTACGGCAGTTTTTTAATAACCAGTTAGCTGGGGGCGATGAATTGGACCTGGCAAGATGCAGCTGTATGTTGGCCGGTCATGTCACCCAACCTGAATCTTTTAGATTTTTATTTTTGGGGGTTCATGAAACATAAAGTTTATGCTCCATCAGAACAAACTCAGCAGGAACTACGGGCACGAAAATAAGATTTTAATTTTTTTTTTCTGCTTGACAAAATATATTTACTTTTTTCATTCATTTTCATTTAAATTCACACTTAAGATTTGTTTCA